GCGCTAAGAACCAAAGAGACTGCAAGATTCGTTACCGTGCCCTCTAAGAAAAAAAAAGAAACATATGTTATTCACCAGTTCTCGAGGTGGTACTCGGGTGGTACTCAAGACCCAATTTTCCCAATACGGACCGACCTAGACTGGTGAATAACATTTTTATTTTTTTCCTTAAACAAAACGAAATTCTCTTTAAAAGAACTCGACTGATTAAGGGCTGTGATAACGGCAAGATCTTCCGTAAACCGAACAATTTTTGAGCGAGTAAACGGTAATTAAATAGAGGTAATGCAAATTGAAGTGAAGCTCCACCGAGAGATTTTCATTTGCGTAATGATAAAGGTGATTTAAAAGGCTTTCAAGCCAACTTTGAGACAATATGTCACAATCTGACACCTGTCAATCAGAAAGCTTCTAAGGAAAAAAAGCGCATGTACACTTTTGAAAAAACAACAGAATTAGTTTGGCAAGGACTGTCCCGACAATGTTTTCTTCAAAACCAGTTAATGATCTTATGGAAAGTATTACTCTCATCGATGATTAATTAATGTACGAGGATTTATTACCTCCGTTCAGTAAGTAAATGGGAAGGAAAGTAATTGAAAGTAAATTCAAATTTTTTTACTCTGAAGTTGTGAGAGTTCGCTCGTTTGTTTACTGCAATCTGGTCTTTCACTAAAATTTAATTCGAATGAGACACTTCAATGAGACACAAGGGGATTTAATGGGGCTTTTTCTCATTGAATTCCTTTTTTTTTGTGCAATTTACAGAACAAATGTCCAAATTGAACGGACTTGGAAAGACTTATAGAAAATGTATCTGCACTAGAACTATAAACTTCTCTCGCCCTTTCACTACGAGCAAATTGTTGGAGAGAATTCAGATATTTAACGAATGAAAGTTCCATCGACTAATTCAATTGTAACCAAATACCTCACGTTTTAACTTTCTAGGTACTTTTTATATAATATAAATACACCTCTGAGAAAAAAAATAACGAACAATTATTCTATTCTATGAGCGCGAGTTGGATATGAGACGTTGGATAGCAAACGAGGCGCGTAGCGCCACGTTGACTATATGCAATCTTGTATCCAACAAGCGCGAATGAAGACATCGTTTTATCAAATTTCATTAATACCTGAACATTTGAATATGTTCACAAAAGTCCCAATCGCTCTGACGAAGGGCTAACGCTCGAAACGTCAGCTTTTTTACCCTTTACAGTGGCCAATTTACGTTTTCAACTCAGTTGTTAACACTAAATTACCTGCTATACTCTCCCACGGACGCAGCTACCCCCTTTGTTCATTCCCATAAGAGGTGACTCGAATATGAACTGATAACCAGAGTTGAATGAACCAATCAGAACATCCGGAAATGAAGTTTGATAACGTTTCCAGTGCGGTGCGAAAAACCCACATCTTGGTAAAAATGTAGACTTGAAACCTTCCCACCAACAGTTTGCTTATATTTCCAGGTTTTTAAAAGATAAACTCGGCCACATTTCTGAATGTTGGAGTTTTTAAAAGATGACATTAAGCAACTGAAATGAACAGAGTGAGACAGCGGTGTTTGGTGGTCCTATCTTTTAATTAACTGTTTAATAATCATGGCAATTACTAAATATCAATTTAGATATATATTTTTTTTATTTTGGAATTTTTTTTTCACAGAGAGAGACTCATTTATTGTGCTTGTGCGAAACAGTTGTTTTCTTCTTGCTATTCAATAACTCAACCGGCTGGGCACGACTCTCAGGTGTTCCCGTTTTCAAAGTCGGAACTTTGGTTCCATTCACCTTCACTGCTTTCCCATTCTTGTCAAAGAACCATCGATTTTTTCTTGGAATTGATGCACAGTAGCTGCCTTTATCAAAGGAACCTTTCACCACATTTTGGGCAAAGTCCCCCATCATGTTTCCAGCTGGTTTATATCTGCCCACAATATATGCACATTTCATTCCTCGCATTGTACCCTCTGCCCGTCCGATTCCAAGAACTGTACTGCCTTTCCAAACTACCTGTGTAAAATGGCCTGTTCCACCAGAGAAGGAAGCGCCGCCAAAATTATATCCCGGATCACAGACCTCGTTGTACCTGGAAAACAATGAGACTAAAGAGAGAGAACACAAAAATAGAGCAAAAGAAAAATCAGCTGTCATAACATTAATTGACTGCTTTGGCTTCATACATCACAAAACACACGGCGGAGAGTATCGTTCATCATTAGCAACCTTAGGTGTTCCGGTTTCGTAAAATTGCCCTCACAGTTTTAATTCAAGTAATTCCACCTCTGCGTCAAGTTTTCTAATATCTATAATAGTTTTGTAGACATGGGTTTCACATATATTTCACCACCCTCTTTACGCCGTTTGTTAACTCGTATCATTTTCGTGACCGGTTTTTTCATGGAACCTGTACCGACTGAAGATTTCAATAGATTCCGTGCTTTATTCGGGCACTAAATTCGTGCTAAGGCAGCTCATCTGGCGAGTTTGGCATCACCATTGATGTTTTGGGTCGACTTTTGGCTCGACTATTCTCCTGTTTGTTGTGGGAATTTGGTGTTGGATCACTTAATAATCCCCTACTAATTTACTCTCATGAGTTTTCTGCTTAAATCTGTTATGGGAAATTCTGTCCTGGTTACTCAAGAAAAGGAAGTGTACCAGAAAGGTTTTGGTTTCGGCGATGCTTTTCTAACCAATGAAGATGTCACGATCGATTCCCGTAAGCATATAACAAGGTATTAGGTTATTAACCGCAACATGAAGTGGCACCAATGAGGGCTACATAAAAAGACTGGATTGAACGTCAGTGGTATGGACCGCTTGGGTTGTGTGCGGGCCGCTATTGCAGAGTGCCAAATATATTCGATATCTGTTTCAGATGTCTTGTCTGGAAGGGTGGTTGCTCCTTAGTATTTCGAATCAGATCATTCAGAAATAGTCAGGGTTACTACACCTTATTTCTAAGAAAAGAATTTTAACTAGATTAGTGGAAGTAGGCCTAATGCATTTTTACGGTGCAATATCCAATTCCACCCTCTACGCCTCACTCTCAAGGCGCGAACTGGTGAAATGTAATTCAAAAATAAAAATATTCCCAAAACACTGAAATAAAAAATAACTGATTACCATCATCGTTACTTTCTCTATTTATGGGGAGTAGGGCCAAAAATCAAAGGAACACCCACAAGCGAACGATAAGAACTTAGCAAAGACTCGGGAAGAATGTAGTGAAAGCGAGGTTTGGGAGTAAATAGTCCCTTTCACAGTTGCGTGTTTGGTTGCCGAGCCTTCGAAGAGGAGTGAGGCTAAGGGTAACCTGGTTATGATACAAACCTTGCTGCTTTTCGAAAGTAAATTACTTTGTTATCAATCTGACTAGATACTGCTCTCTATCACAACAAGGTCACTTTCAGCCTCACTGCAAATCAAAAGCTTAGCAACTAAGTATACAACTGTAAAAGAAATGACATCATTGTGTTGGGTAGCCTCGTGAGCCTATTCTCAAAGGCCAAAGTTGAATACTACACCCAATCGAATTTCTGCGCTACAAGAAAGCGAAATTTAACCTCACCAATTTGTCACGGCTTCCTCTACGGTTTGTGGAGCATTTGATGAACATCCCATGGAAAGATTCTCTCCCTGCCCTTCTCTCTCTCCTCTCGACGAATGCTGTAGAGCACCCATATCTACAAGCTTCTGAGCGTACTGTTTCGCCTGATCACACATATCTCTGTCCAGTGTCATAGCAGGAGCTTCATGTACTTGTCGGAATTCATTGTGCTTTGCTAAACCCATTTGTTCTTCCTCAGTAAACACTGAAAGAAAATAGGCTAAGTGAGGGCAAATAGTCATTTGTTTTTAAAGGCTTATACCTTTGGAATCATTATCAAAGGACACCTTGAAGGGTCTTCTTCAAAAGGAGAGTTAAGATTTATAAATATAACTGAACAAAACTAGCAGCGGGGGTTGGCATTGGGCAGACGTTTCAGCTTGGAAGAGAGAGAGAGAGAGAGAGAGAGAGAGAGAGAGAGAGAGATGTTTGTTAAGAAAGAATCGATGCTATACCCAGTGCAGGGCCATGCAAAAGCATTTGTCGCCCTTTTTATAAGTAGAACATTTTAAACTAGGTCGTATGGTTTTATTCTCAAGCTCGCGTAAACTTGCCCCTGAGCAACAAATGTTAACATGAGGACAACTGATAGAAACAATTTCTAATTCTGCTATTCAAGAGAAGGACTCAGCTCTCCCAGTTGTGCAGTCTGAGGCTGAGATTGCGATGTAGCCTGAAACTGATTTGACAAGTCACATCTAGGATAAAATATCGTATAGTATGTTTGTCGTGCTATGTTGTGAGATGTTATCTCATACAAAATTTCGCCTTGTTAGATCATGTTAAGTAAATGAAGTATGTTCAGTTTTCATTTACTACAGAAAGAAAATGAAAGAAGGTTTTAAGGTCCAAGTGAGCATTCATGTAGCATACTTCCCCCTGCTCCCGGGAGTTCTATTCTACAGAAGAGAAATGAAAGAGGGTTTTAATGTCAGAACTTAGCACTGATGTAGCATACCTTCCCTACTCCCGATATTTCTGCTATACAGAAATGAAATGAAAGAAGATTTTAAGGTCGAAACTAAGCATTGATGTAGCATGCCTCCCCCTACGCCTGGCATTTCTGCTATACGGCAATGAAATGAAAGACGATTTCAACGTCGAAACTAAGCATTGATGTAACATACTTCCCCCTGCTCCAAGTAGTTCTATTATTAAGAAATGAAATGAAAGAAGACTTGAAGGTCAGAACTAAGCATTGATGTAGCATACTTCCCCCTGTTCCTGCTGTTGGTGCCCCAGTAATTGGAGCTGCTCCCGGAACTCCCGAGGCTCCCGTTGGACTTGTTGTCGGACTCGCCCCCGTTGGACTTGTTGTCGGACTCGCCCCCGTTAGACCTCCTATCGGACTCTCCCCAGTTCCTGCGATCTGAATTTGAAGGTTTAAATTGATTTTGCCATTTTTCTCCGCCGTTCCAGTACCAGAAAGCTTAAAATTTTGAGAATTCTGGAATACATCTGCGACAAGAAAATCAGGAAGGCTTATTGATAAGACTGGAAAATATATTTTTATCTCGAGCAACGGCCTCAAAATATTTCCGGATCTATTGGTTTTCTAAAACTGTAGCCTTATTTAGATTTTGTTTTAGTAACCTCTCCTATAGATTTCCTGCTTTATTTTGTTTCCGATAAATAAAACTACCCCCCTTGCAGCGGACTGACATATTATCGTCAACATATTATTGTCCTCTGAGACGCCCCTTTCGACCGCGTTGTAATTGACATGCGGTATAGTTAAAAATCGATTAGTTACATAAAAGAAAATAGCCAAATTTAAACTTCATTAATCAAAAAGGAATCTTCTTTACCTCCATCGACTGCTACAATGGCAAGCAAGAGATAACAAAGCCACATTCTCTAAAGGAAATCCTGCAGGAAAAAAAAGTAAAGAAAAGATGAAAAGGAGATATCTTATATTGAAGATCTGTTTTAGATAATCAAATCACTAACGTGAAATTCTTATTCTGGTAGTTTTCAATTTGAATGACTCGAGAAATGACTCCGTACTAGTATTAATGTTGGAAATTTTTTATCATGTATCCCTGCTGGAGAAATACCAAAAATTAACAAGTTAATCTCTGGCAAGTGATGTCTAAAACTTCCAAACCAACCGATAAACAAACAAACAGAAAAAAACCACAGGTCTCCACGGTCTCAACAGATGACAATGGTAACTAGTTAATTAACTGATTTTAGAGTATATTCGTTAAACATTCCCGAAGTTTTTCCGTTTTTAAGCTCTTTCTGTTTTTTAAAAATCAAAGTTTAAAACTTGAATTTCTTCTGCAGATATTACTACACATCTCACATTCGATTCGTTAGGAAACACTGACCAGTTACATCTTAGATATGTTTCATATTTTTCACATCATTTTTAACCAGTTATGATTTTATCTTAAACACAGGTAAAAAGAAATGAGGTGAATGTGTCCAACGTTAAAACAACATTAACGTTCTTCAAATCTCTTACCAAAAGCTTGTCGAGTTTTGGAGACGGATCGTGCCTGATGGATGATGTTTGCTTTGTCAAGTAGTAAAATGAAATAATGTCCTTGGGTCAATAACTGTATTCCTCAGTTTACCGTGAAGAAAGGTTATTGGCTTATTCTGGACAATTACCTGTTTCTTTGTAACGATTGAAAAGTCAGCTTTTTGCGTTTTGGTAAGTTTTAGAGTGGCAAGGTGACCTTTGCACTTTGACGTAATCTGAAACGTTAATAGTTTCAAATGTAAATTTTGAGTGAAAACCCACATTTTTAGAAACTCTTTTTCGTTTTGTACTGTATTTGGTAATCAGTTAATACTGAGATCACACATGAATCAAAGAAAGATTTCATCTGATTATTTAAAGTTAACCAAGCCAATTTAATAGCCGTCTTCATCAAGCAATTTGTTGAAATGGTTTCTGAGCAACTTCTTCGTAAATGTTTTAGGGGTATCATCTATCAGCTGACTGGCGACAGTTCTTTTGTAAACCTGTTGATTGCCTTTTTTTCTCGAAAAACTACTAAAAACAACTTTCGAAGACTATTAAAGCAATAGACCGCTCTTTCCATCAGTTTACCTGGGTAATAACCCATACAGGATGTTGGGAGAACACTCGAAGTGTTTTAAAATCACTCGCCTCCGGCAAGCAATTTACGAACTTTTCTCGTGTTCTCCCAGCATTCCAAATGTGTCATTACGCCGGTAAACTAATCGAAAGAGCGCGGGCTAATGCCTTTTTAAGATAACTCAAAATGTATCAATTTTCTATGGGTTTATCAAAGTTATAAATGAAAGCAGGTAATTT